TAGTGAAATATTGGAAGTGGAACGATGTTAACTACTTCTAGAAGAATTGACATTACACCCCACCCCCGGGAAGAGGTTTTCTGACAAATTGCTCACCGCCGGGATTGACACGATGACAAAAGCCCGGGGTGATGGCCACACTTGGAATTGATTGAGCCATAAACTTTTGAGGACATTTCTGTTTTAAATACACTGCTGAAAAGAGCTCCTTAACATTACCGGTATTAAACCTGCCAGGTTTGAAAGTAATACTTCTAAAGTGAGCAAACTTATAGCTCTACAAAAGTCGAAAAATTTTACAAAGGTCTGTGTGGTGGCTGAGGCAGGTTGGTACCCCTCACCATATAAACATCTGCAAAATTTTGTAACTTTGCCGAGCTATAATATCTTCATTCTTTCTCAACAAATCATTCTCAAACTTGGCCATATTATTATTTTTCAGGCTCTCTTTTCAGCAGTGTCGATGGATTTTTACTACCTGGTCCATGTCAAAAGTTGAAACAAACTGTCGAAGGGTCTATTCCCAGAGAATTTAAAATTAATTTGTAAAGAAACAATAACATTATTTGAATATTCATTGACACTCTTGCAACTGACATATATAGTTTTGATACAACAGGAACAGCTATAATTACCTCTTTAACTTCCTCAATTAAAGACATTGCCTGGCTAAAGACTGGTGGCTCCTGATTAAGCTCTTCACGAAGCTTATCCCAAAATGCTTTATGAACAACATCCCTGACTTGCTTTTCGAGCCTGTAATAATTGACATGAAGTGATCATAAACACAGAGCAGTATCTGCATATAAATACATATAAGCTGCTAAATACATTTAATGGCAGATCTTTACAAAATTAATGTAGAAGCATTAAAAACCAGCCTTGTACCCAGGCCAGTTCGTGCTATCCGAGTTACCAGAGAAGGCTTAGAACCGAGTGCCAATTTTCGGCAATTTTTCCTGACAAGCTTGACAGGTGACGTCACATCCGAAATCGCAGAGGACGACTGGGAACGAGGCTGGTTAAAAACTCCTCTAATTGCTTAAAGGTTGAAATGAATTCACAGACTTTTGGTTGATATGGACAGTTGGCCAAGGCCACAATGAGATCATAATATTGTTGACCTGCATTGGCAGGTCAATAATAAGTTTGCCATAACCAAAACTTGGGAAGAGATTCCTACTAAGATAAAAACACGTAGCTGCCATAAGTTCAAAAAAGAATACAAGCAAGTTCTAGTTCACTCTCAAAGGTAACAATGTAATATGACTGTTTCCCAAAAAATGACCACTGGATCGTCCATAGTTGCCATGACACCAACACACATTTTTTATGTATATTTTCCCACTCATAATATAATGGTGGTTAACTCGAAAGCTAATCTCCTCGGACTACCGTACACTTCTATCAAAGCCATTTATTTTCTTTTCTCCTTCTTCTTCTTTATTAAGCATTTATTTTTTTTCAGTTAATTTTTGTTTTTTGTTTGTTTCACATTCATTAGCATACATTTTACCAAACCCCAAAGCATCAGGGTCAATCCATTTGGATGATCCAGATCAGGATCAGTGATCCGAGATCACTCGGATCATGGGAAATCAGAGGAACGAAGAATCCACCCTGGGAAAGGATCACCAATCCTGATCTGGATCATCGCCAGGGAATATACCCTGAAAATATAAAAAATTAACTGCAACATGTAATTGAAATTGAATGAGGGAACTATTTGAATGTCTGAACGAATAGTCTAAAGCTAGTAATAACTTGCGATGTATGATGTTGCTTGGTTATAACATATGATTTGATAAACATTATAAACGGAAAAATAAATAAAAATGGAAATGGCATTTTTTAATAATTATATAAGCTTACTTAGCCAGATGTGTCAAAAGTGAAATGTGTTCAGAATAACTAATAACCTTTCCTTAAAAATTGTCTTTACAAAAAGAAACTATAAAGAAATGGAAACTCTTTAGTGAATTGCCTCGAATGGAAGAAAATGTCATGAACTTTTTTGAATTATCCGATTATCTGTTTCCTTTAATAGCGAGTGCCTTTTATAGTTTGTCACGCAACTAATCCTCTCATCTAGTCTGACATGTGAGTGTCATTCATATACATAAAAATATATTCAGTGACTCGCACAAAAGGCAAGATACACAAAGAGAAATTCATACAAAAAAATTAAAAGCATTGTTACGAAAAGAGAGAAAAACGTAAATAAAAGTCTTACGAGTTTTCTGGAAGATCCGATTGAAGTTTGAACGAGTCGTCCATCAAAATTTCGTGAGCGAGAGCCATGTTTGTAATAATGTCCGCGGTGTTTTGTGGCGAAGTTTGTGTATTGTCGGGGTTGTCTCCCTTGTTTTGTGGCTCATTCATACTTAAAAGAACCAAGCTCCGACCTTTATATAGAAAAAAATTAATACCGAACGGGTAGAATCTTTTCACAGCACAGTAAAATATTTCAGATAATTTACAGAATCACAATAAACAAAGATACTGAGCATGCGTGGGAAATCACTGGCAAAACCCAGACTCCTCTCGTCTAACACCACAGGTATGCCAAGCTGCAACGACCCAAAGATGCTCAGCGGAGAAAAATTCCAGTCTTTCCACCGAATTGGATTTACTTTGATACTTTTATTCACTCTTAACTTTTGTATTTGGGTCGACTCTGCCGTCCTAGTCGACTGAGCTTGTCGAATAGAACGGCAAAAGATCGATTTCGATTTTCACATCTGCCGAACCTAATGCATAAATTACGTTAACGTATTTTTCAATGTAACCGCGCTTCTGATTGGCTATTTAGTGGGTTTTCGCACCTTTGCGGACAGAACTCACAGAGGCGTAACGACAGTTACCAGCATTCACGTTGTAGATTTTTAGAATGAAACTGGACAGCTCAAAACGGTCTTTTAAGAAGTTGCTTTTCTTTTTATCCATAAAGAAATCGCGTATGTATTTTAAAATTTATGGTGTTACTTTATTTAGTCCAAAGACCAGGATCACGATCTCCTCAGCTGTCTCCTTGCCATAACAGAACACAAATTACACTAAAATCAAAACAAGAATATCCAGGCTTGGTGACTTTTACTTTTTTCAGTAAATTTCCCTCTTTTAAGAACTAAGGATGATACTTCTTTTCGCCACGAATTAGGTTGCCGCGGCACATGTAAAGTTCGACGTTTGAACCCGACGGGCCTTAGGAATAAATATAGCCTGCGTAGCAAGCATTTCCGTGCAGTGTAGGAACAAAGAACGAGGAAGAGAGTCGAAGACCGTGCGCCAAATGGAAACGCTTGCCACGCAGGCTAGAATAAACAGGCGCGGATCTAGTATAAATAATGACCGATTTTTTAAACGAGCGCCAAAGGCACAAGCTTCTAGCAGGAACCGGGGGAGTGCTTCCCCAGGAAATAATTTGGATTTTTACTCCTTAAAGTCCCCTTTCCTGGGTTTCCGAGTCATTCAGAGAGGATATTAGCCAGATTTCAACTTGGAAAGTTTTTTTTATTATTAAAAATGCATTAATTATGAAAAATATGACCGATTTCCGTAAAACGGTGGAAACCGCTGTGGATCCGCGCCTGATAAATAATGCTGGTTTGACATCCATGTGACAGTCCCATATATATAGTCTGAACAAAAGATCATGGCTTCATGGAGAGATCACAATGAAATATGAAAATACAATCTTTATTGTATTATCTTTAAAAATCTTCCGTTGAAAAAAGTTACTGTGGCAATGATGACTATTCTCAGCCTCGCTTTTTTTGTACTTTTTGTACTGCTAAAGTTCATGCAAGGTGACAACGTCCGAGAACGCGAAATCAGGAGGGGGCGGGGAAGGGGGCTTCACCATGGCATGATGTCACGTGATTCCTGAGCTGCTGTTGATTGGTTGTAGCTTGGTAGGATGTCTCGTGATTATCACATTGCTCTAAGCACTACAAATTTGCATACTTTCTTCTCGATTCGCAACCAGTGAGAAGATCTACAGCAGTAAGAAGAATATGAAAATGGCCCCTACATTGGCGGTTTTTGTACTTCTAGTAGCTTCGGGTAAGTCTTTGTAACGCCTCAAAACGTTCTTATACAAAACTCTTTCGCCTAGAAAGTGAAATTTTCCTCTAAGCCTCGTGGTTTTCGCTTCCTTGTGCATGTAGCTTTGTGGCAAAAGCTTTGACGTATAAAGCTAGTGGTAGGTTTTAGGGCAAACTTCCAAGGAAAGAAATTTTACTTTCCTTAAGATTTGCTAACATACGTTTTGTAAATAGTCCTCTACCGTAAATAGTTCTCTACGTTTTTTAAAGATTGTCATATTATATTATTTTAAACTGATATGAAGTTGTTTTTCATCCAGCTTGGATAGCACCTTTCAGTTACCACACGAAACACAAGAAATATTTTAGAAACGCCATATGTTTGAGCGATTCGCTTCAGCTTATATCGGTGAAATTTTTTTTCTCCTTCTTCTTGTTCTTTAGAAAAAGAAAAGTGTAGCTGCCCCCGCCTTTTTTTTTCAGTCAGCTAACTTTCTTCTGTTTTTTGAAGCTAGTAGTTTCATGTTTGGAAGGAACCATAAGCGGAAGAACTGTTGTGTACATGTATGTTGTAGGTCAAAATGAAACCCAGGTCAAAGTGGTTTCAACAAGAAGGTTGATTCTCAATTTTTTTAAATACTAAGTTACCCAAAAATTACAGGGTTTTTCCGCAGTCAAATGTTAGTTCTCATAGTCCAGGTTTGACATTGGTGCAGGGTGCTCCAAAACAGGATTTTTACTAAGAATTCTAGTAGCAGGAGAAAGGTGTAACTCTGCTGGAAAATATTGTGAAAGAGGCTCCATGTCTGAATAGAAAATAGTCATTGACTATCGCATGTTAGCTGGAGAATTCCGAGCAGAAATGGAGAATTCTCCGATCTCTGATGCCTAATGAACACCCTGCAAAACCCATGTCCAATCGTCCAGGACAGGTAGAAATTTAGCTCGGACATGTAAACCTTTGACATGACTTGTCCGTGGAAGAAGCACATTTTTAATAATAGAAAAAATATGGATACAGTTGAAAATTGACTTCAAATTACTGTAGAATAATATTACTTCTGTTAAGACAAAACTCATTCCCAGACTCCAAATTTGCATTGATAATAGCATAATCACTAAAGTCCAAAAACAACTGTGCTGTTAATTTGTCTTTTCTTGTGTGGTTTTGATTTTAAAATCTTTTGACATTTTGTAATAATTTTCCTGGAATATCTAAAACTCCCAACATAAAAGATAAGAAAGAAATCCCTCAAAAAGCAGATTCTAGAGTGCACGAGACGGCAAATTTTTCAAAATGGCAAGTTGACTGGCCTTGGTTACTAGAAGATAGTGTTGTTTCCTTTACTATATTTAATTTGGTTTACCTCGAGTTGGTTGGAGGTATAATTTTTGACGGGTAACAATGAGTTTGGGCAAGTACAACCTTAACAGTACTGGCCCAGGTGGCAAGTGTTTAAAAAATTAAGCTTCCAATGCTGCTTATCCACTTTAAAATCATGCTCATTGCTTAGACTTTGCCCCTCTTCATAATAATGACCTTATTTCAACAGTTAGTACTCAAGCTACTTAATAGTGGTGCAGTTTTGTGGGGGCAACTGTCATTTGCTGGTTAAATTGTGAACATGCAGGGCCAAAGTCTACTTCAAAGATTGAGAAACAGTAACTGTTATTATTAGCAGATAATAGTCACAGGACTTAAGAGTGACTAGTGATGAAGGGATAGTTAAATACACAATCAACTCTCTCTTAGTAAACAGATGCGTCTTAATAATAGACACCCAAAATGAATATCCACTGAGTTGGTTTCTATCATTGACCCCCCACAAGGTGGACACCTCTGAGATGAACACGTCTTTCCCTTGACTTAATTTTTCAGAATTGGAATTCTGTCTTTCTTTTTTCAAGCCCTGCAGACCAGTGCTGACTATATTCTAAATCACTGTGTGCCTAAACTGTGTAGTTACTTTCCTGCTCTATGCCTTGTAAAACCATCTAGTGAGATGCTACACTTGCAACTGCTATGGGGCCATAACATTAGTTTTTAAATTACTTGTCATTATGTGCATAAATTTTGGGCTGTCTGGGCACTCTTGGAAAAACAAGAAAAACAACAACAGAGTAATGAAATTTGAGGTTTCAAAGAGTTCTGTGACAGTTTTAAATTGTGCATTTGATGTCCTTTTTTCAGTTGCTGCAACCCCCTTGGGCCAAAGCAAGTGCTCCTGGGGTCCATCTTATTGGTGCCAGAGCTACAAACAAGCTGTTGAGTGTAAAGCATTGGAGCATTGCCGCAGCAAAGTGTGGGCTGTCAAAGATGATGTAATTATTATTTTGTTGATAGCTGTACAGATAATGTTATAGCTACATTAAGCATCTTGGCCAAATGCTCGGCAAAGAGCAATTATGGGTATAAAGTGAGTTTGATCCAAAGTTTTTAAAAAAGAACAGTCTTATTATTCCGTATCTGTGTTAACTGGACTGGTTGGAGGAAGTTTTATCTCAGGATAAAGAAGAGAATTATTGTATTTCTGTTTTGAATTAAAGAGTTACTGTAATTACTGGCATATTACTTTACTGTGAGGAGCGAGCCAAGAAGGTGTGTGATATCTAAACTGCAATTAGCAGTGTATGTACCGTTTATTTATTGGTTTTTTGCTTTGCTCTGCTCATCCTATTATAAAATGGTCATAAAACACCCTTTCTAAAACTGGCAACTAAAGAACTAGTGCGTTTTGACTTTTGAAATGATAAGTAGGCTGTAAAGAAACCTGTTTTACCTCAAGGCGGGCCTTGGTCAATTTTTTTGCCTACTTAAAAGTTGCAGTATGTTATTAACCTTGATGATACAGTTGACTCCCGATAACTCGAACCCTCGCTAACTTGAACCTCGCCCTAACTCGAACCAAAAGCGATTTCCCCTTGATTTCCTTCTGACATTTACTGTAATTTAGCCTCATTCACTAGAACCCTCAATAAATCGAACCTCCTGCTAACTCGAAGTAATTAATTTTTTGTTCCCCTCTAACTCATTTCTATACAATTTTACCCTCAATAACTCGAACCATGTTATTAGTGTGTGACAAGTTGGGGAAAAAACCATGTACTGAAGTCCAAAATATTGAATTTATTTCAAAACAACCGAGTCAATTCTTTGTCTTTACTTTCTTGTCACTCCAGTTCAAATTCAGTGTCCATTCCTGTATACTTTGTTGCTTAATTGTCTTTCCTTCCCATCTGTTTGCTTGTTTCCTTACTTTCGGTGATTTGTTTCAAACTCCCGATAACTCAACCTTTTTTCGATTTCCCTTAAAGGTTCAAGTTATTGGGAGTCAACTGTGCTTATGACATTTTCATTTCGTGCAAAACTTGGCAGCACTAGTAGGCCTTGCTAGACTTATTTAATCACAGTTTCATCACAATTTTGTAAGAATGCCAGGCCTTTCTGTTTTTTTCATTTTAGACTGCATGCGAGATCTGTGAACTGGTCATACCTCAAATCAAAGAATTCTTATCACAAAATGCCACCCAGGTAACTGTTTTAGTCTATTTACTTTCACTTTTCATATTTAGTTAAAGTGTAATTGTAAATAACCAGAAACCCATAAGGGGTTGAAACGTGTAACTCGCATTCAATGCTTGTGGATATTCATTTTGACCATATTTGGAAATCTTAGTGACGGATATCCATTTTTAACAAAATGGCTGCTGCGCGATCACCGTGCAGATGTTTTAAGACAAGGGTTCTGCATTTCAAGGTTAAAAATACACTGTTAAAAGACAAAAAATTGAAAGAGAAAGTTCAAAAGAATGCTCAGCTTTCTTTTTGTGGAGAAAGGGAAGCTTTTCATCAAGAAATCGTCCTTCGAGGAATTCAACCTTGTTTTCTTCACGGCGGAGCCCATGGTCTGTTTTGAAATGCAACCAAGTCAGCGAAGTTTTTGCGGACTTTTCAGGTACATTTTGCACTCTATGGCCAAGACAATTACGTTTTTGAAAGGGAATTTAGGTATTTTTAAATGTTTCATAGACGTTTTATAAATTTTTCTCTTCGGCGCTAAAGAAAAATTACAAAATGTGCCCTGATTTGAGATGGATTTTGTGTTGAATTTTGCCATGTGCTTAGCCGATGTCACTTGTGTGAACGGATCCACGATCCAGATAGTGTTTTCCGAATTGCTTTAAAGGATTAACTTTTTGAACTTTGAATAAAAATTTTCATGAAACGGCTTCTCTGTCTATTGTTTTGAGTTTGTTCATTCATAAAATTAGCTCAAAACATGATCGTGACTACAACATCTTAGTTTAATTTAAGCTTTTAAAATGCTTCTCACATTCATTACAAGCATCACTTTTTGTGAAGATGTCAGATTCAGGTTTTGAACACTTTCGATACGCAGCTAATGAATTTTATTCGAAAATGTTTTTCACTGTTTATTCTTAACTTTTAACATAAGAATTTTAAAAGCCCATTTGCAGTATAAATTTACTGTGCAGAGGGTCAACGAGGCATCGTTTTTTGAAGTGACAACTTCGAGAAGTTGCGAGGCCGTCAATGGGTTTCATAATGTTACGTTTGGCCCGGGTGGTAAGGCAACAATATCCTGCTCAGTGTTTCGGTAATATTCCTGGTTTCAACCTTTGAAAGCTTTCTCGGCTTTCAAGAGTTTTTCCCCCGTCTGTCGGCCATTTTTTTAAGGGGGCGCGGGAACCTGAAGGAAAATTACGTCACGTTGTTTACGAAGTTTGATTGGTCAGTTATCTCTTCTTCTCGTACCAAATATGGTTCTTTCGAAAAGGAATAATCACGAGCATCGGACAAAGCAAACATATGAGAGTTACACGTTTCAACCCCTTATGAGTTTCTGAAATAACTTAATGGTGTTTTCATTTCCTGCAATACAAAGAGTATAATACAATGTATGTTTATTCAACAGTTTTTTTGGTATCTAATTGCAGGAAGAGGTTATATCTGTGTTGGAGAAAACTTGTGATGATCTTGGACCTGAACTTTCAGGAATGGTAATCGAATATCTTACCATGTTTAACTAATCTTTAACCCTTTCTCCCAAGTCAAGATCGCATTATGGTGGTACTATTATTAAGTCAGTCAAACTTTTAAATTTGTGGATAGAATCCATGGGTATCGCCTATTTATTAAAGTAACCTCTTTGGGCGAACATTTGTTCAGTACTATTTACTTCTTTGGATTTTAGAAATTCACTGTTAACATTGAAAGGGCTGAAATGGTGCTGGACCTAAGTTAGGATATTTGCCATAATTTTATAACCAAGGTGGTCCGTCTTTCCTGCACACATGATCATCATATAAAAAGCTGGTCTTGCGGGTCTAGATGTGCCCATGTTGAGGTCTTTGTACATGCTATTATCTTTTTAGTTATACCCATTTGTAAATGAGACCTGCAACTTGTTAGATTTTAAACAATGACAGTATATGTACATGTACCTTGACACGTGCAGTGTGGAACAAGAGTGTATTAGGGGCAAGAGCACTCAGCAGTGAGATCCGCTTTTAATTCCCTGATGCAACCCCACATGTGGTTTTAGTTTGTTGTTGGTTCTCTCCTTTGTGTTCAGAGGTTTCTTTCTGGGTAATCCAAATTTTTCAAAACATCTCATTTTTGTTATTTTGAATACATAGTGTTTCATGACTTATTATTTTTTGTTAATAAATTAACACATAGAGCAGGTAGATCATAGTTGTACATAACTGATTATTTTTGCTGTTGTTTATTTGTTTTAGTGCAAATCTCTGGTAGATCAATATGAGCCTGTGATAATGAAAAATCTTCTTGCCCTGATGGTGAGTATTATCACTGAGATTATTTAAAGGGTTCAGGGCATAAGTACTTGCAGGCCCATGCTATGACTCAATCCAGATTTGATGATGATTGTAAACAGAAACCCACAATAACTGAATGAAGGGCCCAGGTTCGCAGAAAGTGTGTAAGTGATTCTAATCCACAAATCATTTTGGGAAGACATGCTCAACATAACGTTGCTGTAGTTTGAAAACGGAACTCACATGTCAAATTGTAATTATCATCAGCACTTCACAAATGTGACCTTCTCCAGGGAAACGTACCCTGATGCAAAAACTAAATGGGAAAAAACTAATGGCTGATGAACGGCTTGTTAGTGGCTCTTCAAAGCATTTTATCGGGTGAGCAAAAATTTCTAACGGCTTTGGAAAGCATTTGAACGGATTGATTTTCCGAATGGTTTGCTTAACGTGTAGACTAAACAACATGCTCTTTGTGATTTTAAGTAATCTCTCTATCTGTTTGTCTCAAATCAATGCATTGTCAGGCTTGAGGCTTGAACCTTAAGAATTAGGTGTAATGATGAACAAAACTTACCGTGGCTCATGCTTCAAACTTCTGNACTGAGATTATTTAAAGGGTTCAGGGCATAAGTACTTGCAGGCCCATGCTATGACTCAATCCAGATTTGATGATGATTGTAAACAGAAACCCACAATAACTGAATGAAGGGCCCAGGTTCGCAGAAAGTGTGTAAGTGATTCTAATCCACAAATCATTTTGGGAAGACATGCTCAACATAACGTTGCTGTAGTTTGAAAACGGAACTCACATGTCAAATTGTAATTATCATCAGCACTTCACAAATGTGACCTTCTCCAGGGAAACGTACCCTGATGCAAAAACTAAATGGGAAAAAACTAATGGCTGATGAACGGCTTGTTAGTGGCTCTTCAAAGCATTTTATCGGGTGAGCAAAAATTTCTAACGGCTTTGGAAAGCATTTGAACGGATTGATTTTCCGAATGGTTTGCTTAACGTGTAGACTAAACAACATGCTCTTTGTGATTTTAAGTAATCTCTCTATCTGTTTGTCTCAAATCAATGCATTGTCAGGCTTGAGGCTTGAACCTTAAGAATTAGGTGTAATGATGAACAAAACTTACCGTGGCTCATGCTTCAAACTTCTGAGCAGCGAACAAAATTCTAACAACTTCTCTCAACTCAAACGACTTTTTCTAATGCCTTGAATGGTTTTCCTAATGCTTTTAACGGCAGGTTAAACAATTGTAACGGTTTTTCAAACCCCTTCAATGATTTCCAAAACCGGTTTAACGCTTATCTATCAAGTTGTAAACGCTTTTAGCCGTTAAACGGAAAAGCAATAGTTTACATTTTCCCGGAAAGGTCACAAATATGTCAGAAGCCATCTTCATGAAGTCCTTAAGGACCTTGGTTCTTAAGAGAGTGGTGAGAAAACTTGCTTTCCATTGATGTAGCAAGGGTTTGGATCCTGGCCCGGGTAACAGTCTTAAAAGAGGTTTTTATCCGGGCTCTCCATTTTTTCCCTCTCCTCAAAACCAACATTTCTAAATTCCAGTTTGATCCAGACTATTACAAATATAGAGCTGGTTTATGGATGCCCTACCAATGATATAATTTTTTTATTTTCCATATAATTTTATTGAATTTTATGGTATGATATTTTTCTCCTTTATTTTTAGGCAGATCCCCAGCAAGCCTGCACAGCTTTGGGGCTTTGCCAATCCAAGCAGAAGAAGGTCATTGCTGCGAAACTTATCATGAGTACTTTACCGCTGGCGAAAAACTTCCTGTCTTCAAAACCTAAAAAAGCCATCCTCAAGTCAAAGCCTTACAAGGCTTCTCCTCTGTGCGTGCTCTGCGAGTTTGTGATGACTGAACTCAAGACCTTGCTTAGTGAAAATGCAACACAAGTAATTATAAATTTTGTTTTGAATAAAAACAAAAATATTGATTGGTTATTTTTGATTATTTTTAATGAGGCATTTTCTGTTGTTCCCACCTGTGCAAATTTCTTCATAGGTGTCATAAAATAGGATATAAACTTGCTAACCCAGTTTTAGATGTTACAAGTCAAATATGCTGACCTCAGGTTAAAATGTTTAACCTTAGTAGGTTGATTCTTAATTTCCTTTGTGTCCTATAGCTAGAAAACAAAGGAAATTGAGAATCAACCTACAATAGATTTAAGCTAATTATTAGCTTAAATCAAAATTAACCTGCAACTAAGACAACTTCTATGGTCAATGATGTCATGGGCATTACCCCCCTGAGATTGACGGCAATTAAAAACTACCTTCACACAGCATAATTTATACCTAAAAAGGGCAACTTTGTTCTCACTTCATTTTGCAAAAATGGAATGTGTGTTGTAGTGAATAATTTTCATCAGTTGTTTCCTTTTAACTGGGACCATGATGTGCAAGATGAGTTGGAAAAGTCCTTATTTTGCTTTTAATAAATATATTTCTTGAATAATATTATCGCATGTTTTAGTTCTAGAGTCACCCTCACCCATACCCTAACACCTGGTTAAACCTTTTGCCTAGTTTAAAAGATTTATTAGTTAAAATTGAAATGTACTGCTACACAAAAAAACTTCATTACCTAATGGGGACAAACAGGTCTTCTTAAATTTAGACTAGTGCAGCATGGACTGTTTCTTTAGGCGTTAAATTTCAGAGATTTTAAACATGAGTAATAATGAGATGTTTCGTGGCTCTTAGGAGCCACAGATTTGTCATTCATAAGACTGGCACGCGTTTACTTTCTTGTTCAATTTGCAAAGTCAATAATGTGCTTTATTTTGTTTATTTTGCAGGAAGAAATAAAGGAGGCGTTGGAAGAGGTTTGCAGTTTGCTTCCTTCCACTATACAAAGTGAGGTAAATGTATGAAAGATTTATTTTTGTTTGTGTGGTTTTGTTTTTCATGGTTTTCTTCTGCACCATCTGATTTATCTTAGTTAATCACTTTTTTTGCTCAATATGTTGTAGATTTTAGTTCATGAAGTTACTAGTTGATATGTTTCATAAATATTAGTACAGTCCAGTTTTTGTGGAGGAATTGAGTATTTTTTGCAGCATAAGGGTAATTCAGCTTTTGGCCTGCCATGCTGATTCCAGTGAAAATCTCTATTTATCTACCCCACCTCCCCCATTTGTTATTAGTGAATTTCTATAACAGGATGGGAGAAGAAAGAAGATGGCAAACCTTGTGTGACAAGCATGACAATAATTTGTTGAAAAAAAATTCACCTTCCTTTAAACAGATCTTTTTGTAAAAGACCAGAAAATATTAAGTGTTGATTTTGACAAAACACGCAAGTTATAGCCCTATCATGTTCCTTTGCCATCGTCTTTTCTCCTGCTGTCTTGTTGTGTAAACTCACTATTGCATAATGAGGCCCTCTTGGGGAAGTAAGTATGTCCCTAGTTTGAATTTCAAGTACAGCCATTACGCATTATTGAGGAGAAGGCCATATTGATATATCCCTGTCAGTATTTAATGCATCTGTATGTGGTTTATCGCTTAACAGGGTCTCTATAATTTAATGAAGTGGCAGACCTCAGGAGACAGATAACAACTCTTAGAGAAAAAGGGGGTGAAAATTAGTTGATAATCGGTAAACTGGATAAGCAGAAAAGAGAAATAGAGGTCATGACGAGGACAAGTCATCAATGCTAGAAATGGAGGGGGAGGTGATTACAAGTTAACAGTGCTGTCACTTCTTGAAAATGCCATTCAGATAGAAAAGATGTGTTATAGGAAGGGTGTCCTTGATAACTGCGCCATAATACTGTGTTATTTTTCTCCACAGTGCACACAATTTGTGGAGCAGTATGAACAAGCCATTATTGAAATCCTGGTTCAAGAACTTAATCCATCCATGGTTTGTACAGCTCTTAACCTTTGTGCATCAAAGAAACACCAGAAAGGTAAAGGATGGCAATGTTCTGTCATTAAAATGACGAGCCACTTGAGATAAAGCTGTGGTGATATGATGATCTAAACACTTTGTACTCTGTCTTAAATCTGAAGGGTCCCAGATTGAGGCCTTGTCCTTGAAGTTTTTTTAAAAGATTTTTATGTCTGTTATCTGTAGAAATAGGGAAGACTTTATAGGAAGATTTTGTTTAGATTTTCCATTGTATGGAATTGTTTTTATTATCAAACAACCTACACTGGTCTATGTAACCAAACATAGCTAAGACATAGACTTTCCAACACAGTAAAGACGGTAATGACATTGACATGAAGGTTGTGGTGGTGAAATGATTAATCAAATCCTTGATTTATCACGATTATGACCTTTTGGTTCGATTTATGATTCTTTGCTTCCAAGTTTCGATTTTGGTTCGATTTTTGCAGACCTTTTTCAGGGTGCCCTCAGTGAGTTATTACGTTGTAAAATCAGAGTCAAGAACTCTTTAAAATGTGCCTTTTTGATTGACGAGCAAAGACGATTGCAATTCATGCATCGTTTTGTCTTGCGTGGTTATAACGTTGTCCTTCAACAACCCCTTGAGAATTTGCAAATAAGGCAAACCACGTGCAACACGCTCTTTGTCAGGTTCTCAAACATGGCGACGAACGACTAAGCAACCGTGAATCCTCCTGTCCCTTTTACTATTCTCAAATTTAGGGTTTAGAGTTGCATGTTGTTTACATTATGCATTATATTATAAGAACTAAGAAACATTAATAAGTTACGTAATCAGATTGAAATAATCAAAATCAAATGGAATTGCAGGGAACATGAATTGTTACACCCCTAGAAGGTTATGCACTTGTGTGCTTCTACACAGAGACGCTTATCTTTATTACATGTGGTCTGTGACCTCCCTCTTCCCTGACATGTGTGGGATCATCACGCCTGCATATGTTCTTGGGTTACAGAACCTTCTAATTGCTTCAGGCCACGGAACATAGCTGAATATTGGAGATATAAGGCAATAGTTGTGTTCATCAACTGGGGTCTTGTTTTGATCTTTCAGCAATGGAGAAGCCTGTGGCTCTTGCTGTTGGAAGTAATGAGACTTGTGAAATCTGTGAAACTGTCATGACATATCTGAAGAATGCGCTTGCTGACAATGCCACCAAGGTAACTTGTAAAGCTTGGCTTTCGTTATCAGTGTTTCAATAGGCCATTTGCATGATAGCTTCATTTTACTACTACGACCAGAATCCTTTGCGTTTTTCCTTTCTTGTGCAAATTATCGCCTTTGTTAGTTAAACCTCGCTGGGATTACCAAATTTAAATGTGAAAGGAAAAACGAAAAGAATTCTGGTCTTAGAAGTAAAATGACACCATCTTGCAAATGGCCTATTCTTCCATTCAAAAGATTGATTACTGGTATATATATTTTGCCAAGTTTATTTTTTGATTGTTTGTTATTGTTGTTTTTTCAAGTTTTCTAAGTTAAGCTAGGGTGTAGGCAGTATAGTACCCTGTGAGCAGAGGTTTATCTCTTGCATGGTGTTTATTGTTTACAAAGTCGTTTGCATCGCTGGTCAGTCGCATTGTGCTGATAAGCTACATTAATGACTTCGTAAATGCTAAACGCCATGCAAGAGGGAAAGCTCTGCTCGCAGGGCAGTGGAATAGGCACCATAGCACTATTAAAATATCATTGTATTCACTTGTTTGTTCTCCTTTGTTTTCTATTAGGAAGAGATCCTTAGTCTTATGAAAGCGGTTTGCAACTACTTGCCATCCCAGATTGCTTCGGAGGTAATTTTGATTTGATATCATCTACACTAACTTGTGAACTGATGAAACAACAACAACTTTATTCTTTGTAAAAAAATACAAAAGTTGAACAGCTTGCCCCGCAAATAGCTGGAAAGCTAGTCTGGCAAGGCAAGACAAGTAAATCAATAACACAATTACCTAGTAAAACAGAAACCCTAAACTATTAGAAAGCCTTGCAGATTGCAACTAAAAATAAATAAAACACAGAAGTTAAGTGATCTAATTGACACATGTTGATTCTTTGACAGGTCGTCGTTCTTTAATTCTTCAATTTCATTACGCAAAGCTTGATTTTCCTTTGATTCTTTCCTGAATGGTTTTCAGAATATGCGTTTTCAGGATAAGAGAGGAATTTGTGAATTGAGATCGGAGTGCACAAAAACACCTCTTCACAGCTCTGTGCTTACGTGGGGCTTGCTTGAAAATGAAATACAATGATTGATTAATTTGATTATTAAAACTATTTATTTGTCATTTTATTAGTGCAGTGCTGTTGTCTCAGAGTATGGTGAAGCCATTCTGGATCTGATCGCCGACTCTGATCCTCACCTTTTGTGCCAGGTATCAGTATTGTTTTCTTTATCTGCACCGCAGTAGAATACTCTTTACAGCGATGGATCCAGCAGGAGTTGCAGATGTCCCTAACCCTGTCATCTCCAAAAGTGATCAAAGTCAAACTGCAATAAAACTTCCAAATTTCATTTTGTAAAAATGCTGACAAATAACACCATGTGAGAGAATTGGCAAAGAGGCTTTGTTTGTATTGTCATACCACAGGATTTCATCCAAAGACTCAAAAATTAGAACCACTTGACAAGATTCCGTCTTTCAATCTCAGCTTGGGTGAAAGGGTTAATTTTAAGATTGTACCTATCAGACTTGTTCCAGGGTATGTTTTGGAAATTGACCAAAGGTAGATTATGTTTTAATGAGTACGGAAAACAAAAAGAGAGTGCAAAAAATTCCTTCGTAGCACAGAAAATTCACACTTAATCTTAGGCTGCATTATGCATCTGGGCCCAGGGCGTTTTTGCTTAGATCATGGTATGCTTCAGAGTGAAAATTTTCTGCAATCATTCTGTCTGATTACAAAGATTTTTTTTCCACACAATCAAAGATAACTGGACCAAAACAAACATTGCAAAAAAAGATACCATGAAACATAAAAACAGTTGTAGAAAACTTCCACTTGATCTCAAGTGGCTTTACTGTTGTAACCACACCCAATGCAAGATTCCTGAAGCCATCCTAAATTATGGTAATCTTGAGTAAAGTCTCAGCAATTAACAAAATGTCCAACGTATAGTACAGGACATGGGAGTTACAGCATTTCACCTGTTTTGTAAATCTGCCGTATTGCACGCAAATTGCACGAGAAATAAACGCGCGAAACACGCGTGTAAAAAAATAAACGTATAAATATTCGACAAAATACTTGTCTTATTTACTTGTAAAATTGTACGTGCGCATATTATGGCTAAGTTAAAGAGGTCCTTTTTAAGGAAAAAGGCTGTTATAGTTGAAGGTGGATTGTCAAGCGAATACTTAAAAATTTGTTTAACATCCATTTGGCTCATTGTAAAAAAACAGAGTTAACAGATGTCATTTCATATTTACTTTTCAGGACATCGGTCTGTGTGATTCAGCTGTTGTAAAGAAGAAGGGCGGTGACTTCTGTTTCCTTGGTGCATCATTCTGGTGTGCTAGTAAGCAGAATGCCATCAACTGCAATGTAAGTTTATCGTATACTAAATGCATGACAAACGTAGTTAATATAGTTTTGATTTAGAAGGGTGGCAAGGGGAAGGAACAACGGAACCTTTTTCCAAGTGAAGTGGCCAGGCTTGGGAGACTCCTCTTAGTAGGTCTTTTGTTTTGCAATCCCCCCTCCTCCACCCCCCTACCAGCTTCGCTGTTCCTGAGGTGGTACTTCCTTATTATACACACCATCAAGGTATGTGTAATGCGGTACGGTTTTTGACACTTTTTGATCTGGAATTGGGTATTGGTTCTAACCGTTTGGGTCTGCAAAGGGTTTTTTTTTTGTTATTCAGTTCTTGAGTAGAGTGGTTCGGATGTGAAGTATGTTAGGGAAAAAAACATATTGTGGTCTGAAACAGGGAGATGTTTCAGTAGCATGTCAAATATTTCTGCATGAATTGGATGCCTATAACAGGATGGGAGAAGAAAGAAGATGGCAAACCTTGTGTGACAAGCATGACAATAATTTGTTGAAAAAAAATTCACCTTCCTTTAAACAGATCTTTTTGTAAAAGACCAGAAAATATTAAGTGTTGATTTTGACAAAACACGCAAGTTATAGCCCTATCATGTTCCTTTGCCATCGTCTTTTCTCCTGCTGTCTTGTTGTGTAAACTCACTATTGCATAATGAGGCCCTCTTGGGGAAGTAAGTATGTCCCTAGTTTGAATTTCAAGTACAGCCATTACGCATTATTGAGGAGAAGGCCATATTGATATATCCCTGTCAGTATTTAATGCATCTGTATGTGGTTTATCGCTTAACAGGGTCTCTATAATTTAATGAAGTGGCAGACCTCAGGAGACAGATAACAACTCTTAGAGAAAAAGGGGGTGAAAATTAGTTGATAATCGGTAAACTGGATAAGCAGAAAAGAGAAATAGAGGTCATGACGAGGACAAGTCATCAATGCTAGAAATGGAGGGGGAGGTGATTACAAGTTAACAGTGCTGTCACTTCTTGAAAATGCCATTCAGATAGAAAAGATGTGTTATAGGAAGGGTGTCCTTGATAACTGCGCCATAATACTGTGTTATTTTTCTCCACAGTGCACACAATTTGTGGAGCAGTATGAACAAGCCATTATTGAAATCCTGGTTCAAGAACTTAATCCATCCATGGTTTGTACAGCTCTTAACCTTTGTGCATCAAAGAAACACCAGAAAGGTAAAGGATGGCAATGTTCTGTCATTAAAATGACGAGCCACTTGAGATAAAGCTGTGGTGATATGATGATCTAAACACTTTGTACTCTGTCTTAAATCTGAAGGGTCCCAGATTGAGGCCTTGTCCTTGAAGTTTTTTTAAAAGATTTTTATGTCTGTTATCTGTAGAAATAGGGAAGACTTTATAGGAAGATTTTGTTTAGATTTTCCATTGTATGGAATTGTTTTTATTATCAAACAACCTACACTGGTCTATGTAACCAAACATAGCTAAGACATAGACTTTCCAACACAGTAAAGACGGTAATGACATTGACATGAAGGTTGTGGTGGTGAAATGATTAATCAAATCCTTGATTTATCACGATTATGACCTTTTGGTTCGATTTATGATTCTTTGCTTCCAAG